TCAAAAGGAATGCACTGAGATCAGCTCTTACTTGGTCTCATCTCCACACCAGGTTCCAGACTTCCAGGGACTCCAAAATTTGATTTCAGTGGGCCTTTGTCATATAGGTGTGATTTCATAGCCATATACACTGGTGATGTGCTCTGCTGAAATTTTCTGCAATCTTACTTCAAGCAGACTGAAATGGAAACAGAAGTTGAGGGATATGGAAAAGGATGACAATCTGACAAGTGAAAGTGAAATTCAGAAAGAGAGGGATTCGAGGCTACAGTTGCTAAAATGGAAACGAACAGGGGAAAAAAAAATGGGAAATCTAAAAGAGTTGGGGGTTTTAAGCAGAAGGCAAGAAATTGAGCGAGAGGAGCAGAAAAATGAATGCCTCTAGAGAAAATACAACAAAACCTTGCTTTGGAGAGTTGCATACTGTAATAAGAAAAATGGGTATGGCTTGGCTGTGATGTTGTTTGTTGCTGACTAGCCTGCTAATGCTGGCCTGGATTCACATAAGTAAAGCCGATTTGCACAATTTTCCAGAGGACAGTGGCCTGTTGTGCTATACCTGTGTGGTTGTATAACTGTTAGTAACAGAACTATACCCAGGTTGAAGCAGTACATTTAGGGATAATGGGTAAAAAGAAAGGTTCCTCTTAAAGGGCAATGATCAATCAGTCTTTCCAAATCTTACAATAATAGAAAATTCATATATCAATTACACCTATTCTCATGTTGATGCTACTTTAATTTTATGCATTTTGAGAAAATGCTATGTATTTCTCTTTTTTTCAAATAATCTCAGCTGACACAGTGAGGGGTGACCTCAACAGAGGTTAATAAAATCATGAGGGGTGTAGATAAGGTGAAAGGCAGGTGTCTTTTACCTAGGGTGGGGGATTTCAAGACTAGGAGGCATATTTTTAAGGTGAGAGTAGAAAGATTTAAAAAGAGACATGGGACAGTTGTTTTACACAGCGTGGTTAGTGTGTGGAATGAACTTGCAGAGGAAGTGGTGGATGTGGGTACAGTTACAATATTTAAAAAAATGTTTGAACAGGTACATGAATAGGAAACGTTTGAGCGATATGGACCAAGCGCAGGCAGGTGGGACTAGTTAGGATTATGGTCGGCATGGACAGGTTGAACCAAAGGGTTTGTTTCTGTCCTGTATGACTCTATGTTTACCCAAGGTTTTGTTCACTCTCACATCTACATATTTTAAAAATCCTATGGACATTATTTAATGTACAGCAAGGGAGATTACCTGGTGTCTTGCTAATATTTAATCCTTTAATCAAGACCATTAAAACTATCAGTTAAGTATGGCATTGCTTTTTGTTGTGCAACTTTTTTGCCACATTTTGTGTGTATCAACAGTACTTGCACTTTATAAAAGTACAATTTCGCTATCTGTAAAGCACCTTGGGAAGTCTTGAGATTGTGGGAGGTACCGTACAGATGCAGGCCTTTCATTTTACCAGTCATAAAATAATAGTTTCCAATCATTCGTTAAACTTCAACATGTCAGTTAGAGTTTCTGCACTGAGTCAGTTAACCTTGCTGTGTTTCCTAGGATACAAAGCATCCTCATCATCTTTGATGCACCGTATGCTTTAACCTGCTCTGTGCATGGCTTCCGAAACTAATATTATAGATGGGGGTCTGATGTATTCTAATTCAAACTGAAATTGTATTCTTTTAATTGTTTTCAACTAATTAATTTGTCAAGAATTCCAGCCAAGTAACTGCAATTAGCAACTGACAACGCCATTAGTCTTCATTATATTTATTTTGCAAGCTTTTGACATACAGTAATGCTGAGCCTCAAATAAAATTTATAAAAATCAATTGCATTCAGATTTAATTAGTCTACAGTTGCCATTTCTGTCAGTTAATTAATCTATTGCTATTTTAAAGAAAAATTTAGTTTAAAGGAGATTAATATTTGATCTCTGAAGGGCTATTCATTGTTATTGCCTATATATACTTATCAAAAACTGTTGAAAATTTGTAAGAGATTTTTCTTCTGAACAACAACATTGTTCTGCATCTTCATGTTTCAATGTTCACAATTTAACAGATATCATGGGGGTTATATTATGCCTGATGTGTATATAAGCATGCAAATCTGCAGAACCATGAGAACACACACAGAGCATTTCTGCTCAACAAAATTGGTAATGTTATTAAATTTTAGATATATATTTTGACTCAAAAGGTGGTGGTTAATTTTCCCACTGAGTTTGAAATATGACAATTATCTCATCATGTTGCACAAACATGTTCTAAAATATTGAACTATTCCTTCATTTTGTATATTTTAGTGTCATCAACAATTTTTAAACATCTGGAAGTAAAATACCGAATGAGATATGCAGTCTTTTTACATAGCTTCGCTATATTCCAAAAAGGCTTGTGCTGTCATTTTCTCTCTTGCTTTTTCTACCAATTTCCATCGAATTTGATGTACAGTCAGGTGATTGAAGGGGAGGGAAGTTGGTGGAAGTGTGGGGAGCAGCAGGTCAGCTATCAGATGCCTGGATACAAGGCATATCAATGTACTGTAACTTGACCTAGATGAACCACTTCTTCAATGTATCATTATGTCCCTATTGTAGTACACCCAACATTACTGTAAATTCCTCCAAACAAGCTTATTGGCTGTGTTTGAGAATGGAGGGCAAATATTAGTTGAAAATCTTTCAAGGTGATAAGCAATAGCCTAACATAATTTTGTAAATGACCTCATCGGATGCTTTGTTCTTGGTTTATAAATAATTTAACGTGCTTATTGTTAATTTAACTCTTCAGTTCCTTTCAAGAAGTGTCTCAGTTTGGATAGCTATAACCAAGAGAAGAAGACATGTAAAGATAGTGCTGGCAATCAACAGAAGCACATTTGAAGATGCGTTATAAAATTTAATTCAGTGATAAGCTAAGAGAACAATCACACATTTCTGTTCAATGCATTGAAAGTCCAGAGCTAATCATTCACCGTATACATGACTTATTAATCTTAGAGCCCTAATGACACAGAAAGAGGCCATTTGGTATATTAAGTCCATGTCAGTTTTCTGTAGAGCAATCCAGTTGATCCCATTCCCCAGCCCTTTGGCCCTGGATGTCTATTTTCCTCAAGTATCTGTCTAAATATCTTTTGAAAGCATCAATCACCTCCATTTCTACTACTCTTGCAGTCTGTGAATTCCAGGTCATGAATGGCCTACTTCTGCTCCTACGTTCAATCTATTCATGCAGGTTAAATCCCTAGTCCCAGGAGCCATTCCAGTAATTCTCTTCTGCACCCTGTCCCAGAACCTTCACATCCTTCCTAAATTGTTCCAACTAGAACTAGACTTAATACTGTAGCTATGGTCTAACTAGAGCTTCATAAAGTTTCAGCATTTTTTCCATGTTTCTATACTGAATATCTCTAATTATAAAGCCTGGGATCCCATTATCCTTTGCTAACTACATTTTCAATATATCCTGCCACCTTGGAAGATCTATGCACATGAACTCCCAGGCTCATTCATCCCTGAACATTTTGTAAAACTGTGCCATGAAGCCTATATTGCTTCTTCCCAGCCCTTCTGCCAAAATGCATCACTTCACAGCTTGGAAGAAACTTTGTTCCTCTCTCAACTTCATGTACTTGGTATGGTTTGCAGACATCCTCTGTTTTATCATATTACCTGTCTCCCTCATCATTTAAAGAGCTCTGGCCTTGGTTTTCCTGCCGTTTCCTCTTGTTCAAACATGCCTATTCTCTGCCTGAAACAGCCTTTCTTTTAAAGTTCCCTTGTTCTCACTTTCTTCTTTTAAAATACTCCTAATGTGGTTCAATGTAAGTCTTTATTTTAAAATTCTTTTGTGAAGCACCTTGAGATATTTGATATATTAAAAGCACTTTCAATAACACAAAGTGTTGATGATGCAGCTTTACCTGTCAAACTTTAGGCCTATTTTACTCTAACTAGATCTCCACTCATCCTATTGAAAATAGCCCGGCTCCAATTTCAAAATTATATTTTAGATTTTGCTTTGCTCATCTCCTTAACTCATTTAAACTTATTGAAATGATCTCTCTTTAATATTTTCTTTAACCTATTTGTTCTAATCAACCTGTCCAGAGATGTTATTACACAGGGGTGGAGCAGATGGGACTTGAATCTGGGCTGCCCAGTCCAGGGATGAAGACACTACTACTCTGTCACAAAGAGGGCCCAATTATCCAAGTATTTCCCCACAGACCCTATGGCCCACCCCGTTCCCCAGCAACGGGTCCAACAATGTCTCCTTCTAGGTTCAATAAAACACATACAGGTGAAGGAAATTCTCCTGAACACATTTCAGGAATCCTTTCCATCCCTTCATGTTTTTCTTAACATTATCTCAATGGTATCTTACACCCCCTGCAATTTTTTTCTTCCTAATTGTTGTTTCTAAAATCTAACTTGCCACTAGCATCAAACTCACCAATCTATACTTATGTATGGCTCTATGATTCTCTGATGCTTGCATATCTAATTTCCTGGCAGATTTGCTCCTGTATCTCACTTCTACTATTTGGATGGCCAGTAACATAACCATCCCCTGTTTGCTTTTCACTTCTAACTGACTGTATGCTCCCATTGCTCTTGTCAAAGCTGAGATAGAGAGTGTTGCTCCTTAAATTCCTCAGTAGTTAAAGGCTGCTGCCTGAGAAAGACAGGCATCAAAAAGGAGACAAATTATTTAAATGAGGGAAAAGTTATGAAGTGAAAGACTCGCATCAATATCATGTCCTTAAAATGTTTCAAAACGCTTGAAGAACCTTATTTGAAAAATCCTACCAAACCTTCCCCTTTGGTGGAGCTCCTAACTTTAATATATTAAGCAATTGAAGACTTTTAATTTGCCTCTGATCATCTGTTTAAAGTTCCCCATAAGGATGTAAACAACAGCAAACAATAGCTGTTTATCATGTACATTTTAAAATTAATCCTATTTTTACTTACCTACAGGAATCTGAGCCCAGTCAACAACTTAAGGACATGCAAGCATCTGAGGACTTTGATGAAAGTGACACAAATTTTGTAAGTTATCTTATGTGTAAAATGGCAATATTACATATATATCGTGAAGGTATTAACTGGTTGTATTGCTTAGTGCACCGTAATAGAAACCAAGACAGCAGTAAGGATTTTACACAAGCCAAATCCTGAATCTCAGCCAATTCATTTGTGCGCCCATGACGAAGAATGGTTGAAATCAATGAAACAATAGAGATGTTAACCCTGCTAAGAACCTGCACCTCCATGAAAGGAAGGGTGAAAATTGGATTGAGGAAAGTTTATTTATTAGTTTCAAGTTTTTTGGAAAATTTCCATTATGTTGCCATCACCCAAGCAATTGCTCTCAGTCTTGCCGTTCTCTATGCGCTAAAACAACAAGCACCTGAGCTAATGTTTTTATGGAGCTACAGGCATAAATGCAAGCAGAAAAACTGTAGCTCAGTAGTTGCAAATTGAAACATTGATTTAGTGACAAATTATTTTTAAAATGGAGATGTCTTTTGCTTAATAGAGCGTTTATTCTATTTAAAAGAAAACTCATTGATCAAAACTGAAACAGTCCAAAGCTCATGAAATGAACATCAGTGATATTCTTGTAGTTGTCAGGGGAAGCCTTTATTTTGTAGAGCATTTGATGTGTCCTGGCCAGTGCACTGTTCAGATAAATATTTGCACGAGGAAGCCTAACTTGTCAACTTGCCAAAGTCGCCTATAGCTGAGCAGTAGTGAACTACAAGGCAGTAATGTTATCTGAATCAAGCTGTGTTTGCAGTTTGCTTAATCATCCTCTGCCCAAGTGCTTTATAGCTGTTTTAGACTCGTGATACCTTGATGCCTTGCAGCCTTAAACTGTTTTCGGTGTTTTTTAATACAATATTCTCATATTTGCCATTTTCTTTACATTTTGTGATGAATTCCTTAATCAGTGGATTCAAAATTTTAGCAAGCCACTTCTTAAAGTAATGAAAATATGAATTATTTTTATTGTTATGATTTCAGATATTATTACTCAACAAGTCAGATGCCAAACTGAAATCTGGCTTGATAAATTTTTTTTTGTTTTAACAAGGTGATTGCTCACCGAAACCTAAGCACACAATGTTGCAGATTTGGTTTTTAAACAGATAAAACAAAGTTTATTATGCAAAACAAATTAAGGCATAATAGAATAAACCAAACACTGTTAAAATATAATCCCATTAATCCCAAAAGCACCCCTTTATACTATATGTACCAGAGAGAATTCCCTTCTCTATCACCCTAATACGGCTTAATTTAACTGTGGCTTCAACTCCCAGTCTGGAGTATCTAATAGGCTCTTTCAGAAGCCTTCATATAGCTAAACTTTCTATAGCTAACTTTCTCATCCTCAAATAACCGAACTGGAACTTCTGCTAAACTCCTTACATCAAGGTAGCCTATTTCTTTAACCATTCTAAATGATCTTTTCCATTTTCTGAGGAGCAACTGCTTTACGTATCTGGCTTTACCTAAGACCCTGCAGAACTGCCCAAACTGAAACTAAAATAAACTTTTTTGATCCAGCAGTGTGTGCTTCCCTTAATTAAAGGACAAAAACATGACCTTCTGAACTGGAACCTAATGCATAACTGTTTACCTTGCTTGCTTGTAAAATTCTCCTAATGTAAACAAAAACCCAGTACACTCCAGGAAGTATTTCCTTCATATTGTGTTTAAAAATAATCACAATGGCTACAGAAATACTTAAAAGTTAATCATTAAACCCCTTCAAAAACACGAAAACTGTATGCCACTGTTTCAAAATCCAAAGTCAGAACTGCATTAAAATATGTATAAATCACATACCTTACATCAAGATTACTGATTGATGAAAGCAGCCTGAATATTCGTGCCGATTAAGTTAAAGGTAATCAAATGGTTGATACCGTATGTTGTATTTGTTTCAATAGCCCATAAAGGAAATGTGTGTGCCTATATATATAGCATATGTAAATATTTTCCCCATTTTCCTCACATAAGATAGAGAGGTAGTATGATTGGCCTCAGCAAAAATGGAAAATATTAGTCAGAACTTCTACTCGTGGTCACCATTTAATGACATCACTTATGCAGATGATGCCTGATTACAGTTTAAGCTCATAACTGTGGAGAAAGAGCTCCCCCACACTTTAACTGACACTTGAAAGTGGGCCATTTGGTAGGATAGGCAACACCTGTGAACTTTTCCTCCATTTGAGCATGTCAGGTAAATTTTGCAAAAAAGAATAATGGAAAAAGCAGTCTTCTACAAATTTCTCAAATTGCAAAGAACCTTGCAAATGAATTGCAAAACCTTGCATGAAAATATGCTCACTTAAATTAAGCCTGCTTAATTTAAAGTTGATTTTTATATTCTGTGGGTGTTTGTTTTAAAAAATGTCAGTACCCTGGGGACCATGCACTACTTAAATATTCAAAACTAAGCTCATCCCATTGCCTGCTTAAAATGAGCTTTTTGAATATCTTAACATCCTGGCCTAATTTCACTGCAATGCTTTCGTATTCCACATTTCATTGTGCACCAAAGTGAAGCATAGGTATGCAATTAAATCTGTTTAAAATGCAGAAGGTGTAAGCACACACAAGCAGAAGAAAAGCGTTAAGCCCCTCCAACATCTCTTCGACTTTGCTGGAAGCGACATTGCCACCTGCCAATGGGAGCAGTCCGCACCATTTCTCTGTTGCTGGGGAGGGATAAAAATATTTGTAAATACTAACAAGTACTCTGTCAGGCTTCATACAAAGCAGTGCGGTCAATTGGTGATTCTTTGTATCAATTTAATTTTCCTGTCATTTTAAGGACAGTTGTTAATTTTTGTCAGCGTCATTAGAAGAGTGAATTAAATTTTAGCTCAATTTTTCTGTTTTTCTTTTTTATTCATGACCGTGTTTCACATTTTTGCATTTAAAATAACTTCTTTTAAAACAAGGAATGAACCATTGAACGAGTGAAACAACTACTGAACACAAAACCTGGATGCTGAAGAGGATGAGAATACACTGTGTTTTCATATCTTTCTTTAGTCAGTGCTATTGTGCTAGGAACAGCAGGCTGCATAATAACATGTTGCATTTTACATACGGCAAGTCGATTATCAAACTTGGCCAATCAGGGAGTGTGAGGCTACTCACCCTAGCTCACTGAATATAGGGCAAATGCAAACATTGCAGATACTGGAAATCTGAAACAAGACAAAATTAAAAATGCAAGAAATACTCAGCAGGTCAGGTAGCATCTGTGTAGAAAGAAACTAGCATTTCAGGTCTATAGCCTCACATCAGAATGGTTGGAGTGGAGGAGATCGAATATGTTTTTGTGCTTTACTTGTTTCTTTTGATACAGTGCACAAATCCAATTGGAATCTTTAGTATTCCTTTGGGAGTGATATAATTTTATTTTAAACTTGTGTAACAGTAAGTCCAAGTTAATAATCCCTATGCTGAATTAATTTGTTGCATGTAGCTCTGTGCTTAATTACTCAACATATTTGAGATTCTAATTAGATAAAATTATAATACTGACATATTTATGGATTAAGTTCCATTTCCTACCTTGTGCATCAATTAACGTTAGGTGTGTGCATTTCATTTTCTTTTGGCGTAAGTTCATGAGATGGCTTCTAATAATACTTATCTGCTGTAGTTGATGCTAAGAGGTCAGGTTGATGACCTTTTACCAGACTACTCACAACCTTGTTATAAAAACTAACTTGGACATGAGTTTTGGACTTCACAAATGTGCACCATCACCATGACCACCCATTTACAGTTTTTTTTTTATTTTTGTGCCTAGGGAAGCTGCCATAGCTCATTTTCAAGATCAACAATCCATTTAGCAGCTTTAATTGCTGTGGTCTGAAAGTTGTGATGGTACCGAGAATGGATCTCTCAAAGCAAAAGTTAAATTTATGATTGATCAAACTTGGGTTGTTCCTGTTCCATTTTTGGTGCAATTGGCCACACCTTCCCTGGCCAATCCTCAAGCAGTTAAGGGTTGTACATACTTTCTGTGGAAGGTTGAAACTGGAACTTCACTCGGTGGATCAGTTTCCAAGTTGTTGATGTTTGCAGTCAACCAGGAGGTGTGCTATTGAGGTAATAATTTACAGGGTATGAAGTGTGTTGTAGGTATGACAGAAGTTCAGAGTGTGTGTTCGTGTTTTGAGGTCCTTAATCAACAGAAGTGCTTCACTCACGGTCAGCCAGTAATCTCTCAGAGGTGTTTCCCTGCAGCTATCGTGAGGTTTAATATGTACTGGCAAATGAAGCCACTCCAGCTGTGTCAACATTGCAGAAATATTTTTTAAGCCTGCCCAGAATCGTATACTACTACATTTGTTTGATGGCTCCTGAGCCTGGTTGAGCAGCAGTAATCTGTTGTTCCGCCCACTATCCCGAACTAGCATCGCAATATTTCTGGTTTGAATTTCCCCACATTTACAATAGAGTACACCTGGACATGGTGATATGGCTACCTGATGTGCAAGTCGTACCTGAAAACCTTGAATGGCTTAAACTGTGGAAACCCTAACCAAATCAAGGAACAAATAATTACATTTTCCCTGAACTCAATTTTCAAGGCAACATCTTTGAGTTTCACTTGCTCTCCAGCAGGGCATTGGTCTGGTTAGAGAACTTGATATTAAAACTGTAACAAGAGCTTCTGTTCCAAAAGCCACATGAAAAAAGAAGAAATAAGAAGACTTGATTTCATTCTGCATTATGTTAATCTAGTCCTAGAATGGGGTTTGAATGCTCACTCATCTTATTTAACAAGAGCGAAATGACAAATTAATGTAATGTCGACCCTTAATGCCAACAGTATCTTTACTGCCTTCTCCTCATTGATGTCAGTGCTCCTGCAACAATTGAGTACAGAAAACAATATAGCTCTAGGCTTTCTGTTTCTAGGGTTTGACATGAGTTTTCATTTTGTTTTCTTTCTAAAATTACTGTTCTAAAATTGTGTAATGTACACAAATAATATTTTTGCTTTTGAA